ATCTTGCAATATCTTGCTAAAATCTTGCAAGACCTTGCAAGATCTTGCTAAATCTTGCAAGATCTTGCTAAATCTTGCAAGATCTTGCTAAATCTTGCAAGATCTTGCTAAATCTTGCAAGATTTGTAAGATCTTGTCTTCGCCATGTCTTGTTCACTTCAACGGGTTAGCCGTCCATGTTGTTGTGTTATTGTACTTTATATTGTATTGTTCTTTTGTTCTAGCATGTTTTTTTTAATTTTTTCTTCTCTTATTTCAAATTTTATTTTATTTTTTCATTTCATTTATTTTATTTCATTATTATTCTTCTTTTTATTTTTTTTATTATTTTATTTTATCATGGTTTTTTTATTAACATATTTTTCTTTTTAATTTTCTTTGTTTTTGTTATTTACTTTAATATTTATTTCATTCACTGCTTTTATCCTTATTATTTGTCTACGTTTAATTTTTGTATCATTTTATTTTATTTAGTTTTACTAGGCCCTACTCACGATGATGTTGAGATGATGCTGGCATGCTGCTTCTTTGAGCTCTTTAGTTTCCAGGCCTCTAGGCTCCAGCCATCATCAGCAGCCTGGACAAAGGAGATCTCCCAAGTGGGCAATGATATGATTAATTAGGGAAATTTTCAATTATTGAAAGCTTTGGCCTTGCTAGCAATTTAAATTTATAACCTCTGGTGCAAAGTAGCCAGATACAGATAGCTGAAGCACTATCCTTTAATCTAGTTAGAAATATATCAGTGCCAAAGCCAAAATCATATGTGAGTATACAGAAAAGCCATTAATGAGCCATGGACGTATTTACAAAATCTATGCACGTGTTACCCCAAATCTCTAATTTTACCCTAAAACAGTTGAGCAAAATTAACATTTGGCGTAAGTGGCAACTGAACACATGATAATACAGTCTGACCGCTCTGACGTGACCGCAGTTATGTGATCTTCAAGGTAACATTTTGAGTTGACTTGTTATTATGTTTTGCACTATATTTTGGTGGGAATGTTGAAAATTTGAAACGAAAATTATGAAACGACATGTTTGTGAAATTGCAAACTGGGATTTTTCAATCTAACAAAAATATGACATTAGAGCTGTGGAGATTTCATACCTACTGAAATTCTACGATATTTTAGCCAGGATATATAAGAAAAAAGTAGGACTTTTCCAGCCCTGGCTCTGATATCATTATCATTTAATTTTAGTAGTTATGAAATCTCTTAGCTCTGATGTCATGTATTTTTGTTTGATAGAAAAAATTGTGGTTCACAGACAGTCAGGATGGAATTCTAAAAATTAAGGTTCATATATTATTTTCAATCCACCTCCACTGCTTTTTTTATTTAAAAATTTTAGTTGAGATAGCAAGAATAAAAATAGAAGGGATTGAAGTTACACCAGGTTAGGAAAAATCCTACTTTTTCCTGAAATATTGTGGCTCAAATATCATATAATTTCAGTAGGTATGAAATCTCACAGCTCTAATGTCATGTATTTTTGTCTGATTGAAAAAAAGTTGCAATTTGCACTTTGCAAACGTGTCATTTCATACAATTTTCAACTTCCACAATCCACAGTACGGTACTTCAACTCTCCTGCCAAAATATTGTGCAAAACGTACCGTCAACCGGGGCTACTCGGGACAGGCGGGGTAACTCAGGACAGTCCTCAAACACAGCGTAAAACTGTTTTAGTAGCAAAACTAATTGGAATATTGCAAAACTAAATATAGTGGCATAAACGTCAACATTTTTCCTATCTATGTAGTATAAAGGAAGGTTCAAAAATACTACATTCACTAACTTTGAAAAATTCCTGAAAAAAATGGTGAAAAACGATATTTTGAAAAGTTACTTCTGCTAACGTCTGTAGTAAAAAAAATTCACTGAATTAAAAAAGTTTACTTACATAAAAGATGCACCCAGATATCAGCTTGAAAACATAATTGACAGATTTTGCCTATCTCATTCCAAAAAAAAATGGCGGTCATTTCCGCACGGCGGGGCTACTCGGGACACCCCCCGGGGCTATTCGGGACACCACCAAAAGCGCATTTACAGTAGAACCTCAGTAAGCAAAGGCTCCAGTTAAGAAAAAATTGATCAAAAACGAAGAATATTGATTATTTACCTCGCTGAGCGAAAAAAAGTTCATTTATCATCACACAAATTACAAGCCGTCCTGTAATCTTTCAGATACAGAAAAAATGCTGTAAGGCTGCTGATATGAAGCTTGCAGTGAACAAGGTTGTTGTAAATGCTCAATGGCATGTTCATGGATATGGTAATATAGCATCAATAATACGGTAATCCCCGGCGTTTACGACCCCGTTTTTGTTTGCAAACAAAATCAAAAACGCGGCCAAAGTCACCCCAGTTGACGGTAATTAATGTTTATGGTAATATCATATCAATAAAGGAAAAACAAGTAAAAACCACAGAAAATGTCATTTATTCTACCTCTACATCATCTACAATGAGAGAGGAGGACTTCAGAGTACTTTTTGTAATGTACTAATGGGTGAATACATTATGCATGTTGTAAAAGTTTTAAAATTAAGTTTTATTGCAAGTGTCCCGAGTAGCCCCGTTCGACGGGGCTACTCGGGACACCCTTTTTTTGCTTCTGGCACCTTACGAATAGCATATGGAATTTTTTGACGATGCCATTCGATAGCCCTCGCAAAGAGCTATAAAATGAGCCTAAAGTTGTTTATGAAATGTTTCATCATAAGAAGATATTAACAGTTATTAACAAAAACAACGCTCAAAACTGTCCCGAGTAGCCCCGGTTGACGGTAATGATAACAAGTCAACCCAAAACGTTTCATTGAAGACTGCATAGGTAGTTGCAGTCACGTCAGAGTTATCAGACTGCATTATCAGCTGTTCAGTTGCCACTAAAGTAAAGGCAAATGTTATTGTTGCTGTTTGACCGTTTTTAGGGTAAAATTAGAGATTTGGGATATCACTCACACAGGACTTTGTTAATAAGTTCACGGCTTGAAGTTTATTAGTGGTCATTGATAAAATAATTTCATGTCACATGCAGTTTTTGCTCATTTTATATCCTTAGCACAATTTTTAAATCTGGTAATTTCAGAATAATTGCATGACATTGATATGCTATGAATTTTGCCCATTAGCTGTGTGGTATTGTTAACAACTGGCAACTGCTCTGTCAGGTTGCCAAATGACCCAGCTTCCACTTCCAGTGCAGCTTACATCCACAATAAATTTAAATTCTGATCAATTCTTTCCTTTTGAAATTTCAGAAATTTTTCAGACTTTTGATATTTTTCCCAAATTCCAACTAGAACATTTTTAAGAGGATATTATATAGATCATAATATACACCATATATACCTCAAAATGGATCCAAAAGTTACAATCAACTATCCCTGCTCTAAATGTGAAGCTCCTATTCAGCTTGATGCTGGATTTTCTCACATGTCCGAGCATATCAAGGCTGAACTGGCATGTGAGTAGTTGATTAGCAAAGGTAACTTATAAAATTTTTATAATGCATAAGGATTTATCATATACTATAGGTATATAATAATTTTACATCATAAACTAACTTAGTAACAGAATAAGTTTTCTACTGCACATGCTATACAGTATAGTAAATATACATACCATACTTCTATGAATGTTGAGATGAAACTCATCTGAACCTAATTTTAATGGTAGGTATATTTAGTAACATTGAATGGTTCTTTTTATTTTTGGTTTAAGGTATGTTTATCAGAAATGATTAATGGTGTGTGTTAATAGAAACCTATAAAAGCTTGAGAGTTTTAGTCGATGCTTGCATACAGTACATACATACTTGACCTTTTTTCTAATAAAATTATTACAAAAGTCAACTATTTCAAAACTATGCAGCATTGATGTGATTCATTTGTTACTATTGTTTAGTGCCCATGGCCAAATGTTATATTATTAGCTTCCTTGGCAAAAATGTCATGCCAAAATATCCCAAATAAATTCTCCCAGAGAGAATTTTTTGCCTCATTTCTCTTGTTAAATAATGTTCCTTGAAAGTTCTAGGTGAATTAACTCAAGATCTTTCTATTGTGGAACTAGACATTAATTTAAATTTAATTTCTTATCTTGCTTTTTTGTCTTTCCTTCCTGTTGACGAGTCACAAATATATATAGGTACTAGTGGAAATTTGACAAGCCTTTCATTTTTTACAGCACAACTCCTAATTTAGGTCTAACATCTGTTATTATTTGCAGTAAATGTCTTCAAAGGAAGTGAGTTCCTCCTCCCCTTGGAGGATGAGATGGCTGCAGGGTTTGTGGATAGAGTTGTGATGCCACTGACGCTGTCCCTACAGTCACATGAATCTAATGGTGACACTCTGCTACAGTTCTCAAATATTACAGGGTCAGTACAGTCACATGAATCTAATGGTGACACGCTGCTGCAGTTCTCTAATATTACGGGGTCAGTACAGTCAAATGGTGACACTCTGCTACAGTTCTCTAATATTACGGGGTCAGTACAGTCACATGAACCTAATGGTGACACTCTGCTACAGTTCTCTAATATTACTGGGTCAGAAATCTGGAACATCTGCACATATATTTGAATAGACCTTGAAACAACAAAGTAAGTTTGTCAGTGTTATTTTGTAATGTATAAAATGTCAACATTGGCCTGTAATTAGGCTACACATAATCAAAATAGTGGATAAATAAAGACATCTATTAATATCTGCTTTGAAAAGCTATCTGAATTTTAGCAATTGATCTAAAATTTAATTGGTCTCAACTATTATACTATATAATATATAGGTATTCGTTACTTGAATGTATTTATCTTCTCTCAGATTGGAGTGCAGCAGTTACTCGTATTCTGATCATGGTTATACAGTGCTTGGCTGCCCTTCAAATTCTATGGAAAAAACGCCAGCTCTCAAAGTGAGTGTCATTTGTTTTTAGCGCATTTTCTCATTTATGGAAAAAAGGCAATATTGTGCTCGCCATGTCCGTCTGTTCGTCCGTGACTTCAAGTTTTTGTCGACGAGAAAATGCGCTCTGTCACTCACTGCAGCGAGTACTGAGTTACGTATATTTTTTTCAAGTTTTTGATATACTTTTAAATAGTCCAAGATTGGTTTGAAGAGAATTGTTAGCAAAGTTGAGATTCTTGCTAGCACATTTTATCCTCTCCAAAAAAAATTTACAAACATATGGCTTCTTGGTTTAACATTTTTCAGAATTGTGTGAAGTAGATCTTAAATTATCTGCAAATAAAAATAAATTTTTGTTACACTAATTTGTTTTAGGTATGTCTTGTATTTCTGCTCATGTGAAGCTTGCCTTGTGAAATCCAAGAGCATTTTATTATTCATGATAATTATGTATTATTCATATTATATAGCCATTTTATAATTTATAACATGAATTTAATGAAGAGATTGGGAACCTATTATTTATAACCTGGGAGCATAATATTCTAAATATTACCACTTGTAAATACTTGAAGGATTGAAACCAGTGCACTCAATCCCTATATAAACTTCCTCATGGTATCATGTACACTGTTAGAAAAATTACCGTTAACGGTATTATACCGGCGTTTCAGTGGCTGGTCGGCACGTGAAAAGAAACACCGTGTCGCCGTTTTTATTCTAATTTGACACTATAAATCCGTAAAACATCTGATAAAAACGGCGAAATAGTTTATTTTCACGGAGCGACCGGCCACTAGGATGCCAGTGGGACACCTTTTTCACCGTTTTTTCTAACAGTGTACGAGAATGTAAGATCAGTTGTAACAAATGAACGGCATTCTTGCAGGTTGCCAACACCTTACTAGACATCGCCAGCACCAACAGCTCCATAGACCATCCATTGTGTGAGGAGTGCACCGACTCCCTCATGTTACAAATAGAAGAACAGTTACACTTCACTGCCAACAAAGCCAAGTCTTATGTGAGGTTATTGGAAGAACTGCAGCAAATGCCCCAGCCTGACACCAACAGATTAGAAGCTGAACTTAAACAAGTGAGTTTTTATATTTTTTACAATTTCTTCTCTAGGTTTCTGAAATTATCAATGCAAAATTTTTATTGATAACATTCTTTGCACGTTTTATTGTTTATTGAGTTTTAATGTTTCTTACAATTTCTTGTCTAGGGTTCTGAAATTTTCAATGCAGTACTAAATTTTTAATAACATTTTTTTGCATGTTTTATTGAAAGTTGTTCTTACTTGTATGAAATTTTTTGAAAAAATTAATCAATCAAGCCTTTAGTTATTAATCTCATCAGAATTAAATTTGATATTTTTTTATTTATCAAATTAACTACAGTGATTCTATGTCTTACATTTGTATATAATTGAATTATTCTGCAGCTCAAGGATGAAGAGTTGGCCCTGGAGGAAGAAATTGCCAAGCTCCTGCAAGAACAAAAAGAGGCTGAGAAAATTTTAGAAGAAAAGCAAGACCAGGCCCAAGCGTTAGGTAAATATAACCACACAATCAAATATCTACAGCAATTTCTGCTTTGAACATTATTTTAGTCATCAGAATTCTTTACTTGAAACAATCACCTTTGCTTTTTCAGCAACGCCCTAAAGTTGTAAAAGAGTTCTTGGTCTGAATGATTGACCATTAATTTTTTGGGGGCTTTTTTAGCTCATTTTCTCATTTATGGAAAAATTCACTATTGTGCTCGCCATGTCCGTCTGTCCGTCCGTCCGTGACCTCAAGTTTTCGTCGACGAGAAAATGCGCTCTCTGTCACTCACTTCAGTGAGCACCGAGTTATATTTTTTTTAATATCAGGATTTAGCCTGGCAATATTTTTAAGTTCTAGTGTGGAGATAGTTCAAATAACTTATTGACTATCTGTTATCCAATTCGAAACTTAAGTTTACCTTTTATGACTTTCCTGCTAAGTTTGACAATTGTATGCCCTTCAAATGTTATATTTCCCCCGTCCTAATGTTGTTTATTCTTGTTTTGTTTAACATTGTTCAGCGGATGAAGAGGAGCGATACCAAATAGAATACTGCAAGCAGCGCGTGCTTTGGTTTGATGTGGAGGAGGAGAGGATAAGGTGAGTGAACCTTAACAAAATAATTAATAACTCTGACAAGTGCTCAGCCTGTCTATTGCATAGTACCAATATTTTGCCACCAATAGCCTGCCATTAGCGTGAAGTTGTACTGAACATTTGCTCGGCACTTTTCATAAAACGGTCTTTTATTTTAATTAATTTTATCAAAGAATTCCCTTCTTTGTTTTAAATAAGAACATTAATGCCTGTTTTTCACAGTTTTCATATTATTTATCATTAAATAAATGCATTATTGCCTCCAGTTTCTTAGACAATGAAAATTTCTAAGACTCTTCAGTCTTTAAAATTGGTTTTTAAATTATAAAAAAATTTTCGTTCTATGAAAATTCAGTTGATATTATTCCCTAAAAAATCTAATTATTAGGGAAATTAAGAAAATATCAGTAATTAATATTGTACTGTGCGCATTATCTTCATCAAGTTATAAAACCTTATTATCAATCCGTTGATGGTTCTCATTTTTTTAAATTTATCATTAGGTCATTAACATAAAACTCTGGCATAATATTTTTATGCCACTTGACTGTTAAATTTTTTTCATACTCACATAAATTTCATCCAAGTTCGCTCTGACATGAAAATGAAATCGGTTGTGACTTATCGCCTGTGTCTAAAACATTGTTTTTTTGCAGTTTTTACAATCAGAAGGTTCACACCCACCAGCAGCTCGAGAAACTCAAGCAGACCAACATTTTCAACATTGCCTTCCACATTTGGAAGGACGACCACATTTCTACCATCAACAACTTCAGACTCGGCAGGCTTCCTACCATGCAGGTGAACCCATTACTTCTATTTAACACTAATTCTCTTTATTTCAACCAATGATCAAACCCTCTTTTAACTGGCCTGTATACCTAATCTTAACGTTTATTAGCTGTGCAGATAACTAGATTTTCCAGGTTTCTGCTGCATTTTTGTTAATTTATTCCATTGTAAAGGCATGTTGAACTTAATGTATTATGCTGGCTGTGGCTGCCATCAATATTCATTTTTATGTTGCTCATGTTGAGGCATGAGTAATAATTGAATTTATTAAAATACTGCTGCATATTTAAGTGTGCAGATGAAAATGTTGCATTTACTTAAATACTTGAGAATGAATCAATGCGTTTGTTCGGATTTTTATGTGAAAGTTCTAAGTTACAAGTTATATTCACTGAAACACTTGAAGTTGCATGTGAATTAAGCTATTAGATAATGAAAGTCAACTATGCAGACCATGAAACTATCTTACCCAGTACGTAACGCACAGCTACATACGTGTTTAAAACATCTTGCTTCCCTATATAAGAGTAGATTTGTAAGTGTGTCACTTGTAACTTTGTAAGTAGAAAGGATTCTGCATCTCCTTCATTTTTGGATTCTAGCTGCAAAGATTCCATGTTTTTGGCCAGAGTACATTCATGACGGTGTTTGTTCTGCAATTTCTAGTATCCTTTATAATTCCGTCAACTTAGTTTTTTTTATTTTTGAAGATATTTTTATTTTCAATGAACTGTTCAAGACCACAAAATAGCGCAATTATTTTCTCTGGCACCGTTCAACTAACAAACACTTGGGAACGTTGGCTCATTTAATTAGGTTTTACGATAAAAAATGGAAGATGTACAGGGTTCATACATTTACAGTTCATACAGATGTACATGGGTTCATACAGATGTACAGTTCATACATTTCGCTTGGTATTTCAGGTGACTTGGACTGAAATAAACGCGGCGCTGGGACAGATGGCGCTGCTGCTCGTGTCTCTGGCTCGCAGATTTGAGTTCAGTTTCTCTAAGTACAAAATTGTCGCGTACGGCAACCACTCCTACATCAAGGTCAGCTCCTCTGAATAAATTAACTATAGTCTTTTACCGCTTCAATGAAGAGTTTTAGATCATAAGAATATTCGCCCATGGTATTTTATTTATTTCAAATTCACTTTGTCTACATTCAGCTGATTATTGAATTAAGAATTGTTAGGAAAATTCATAATTTACTATCCTGAAATACATTATTGGAGCAACACTTGTTGTTTGGTTGAAGGTTTTGGACTAAATTAGCCCAGGCAATACCGCCCCATCTCATTGCTCTAGTAATAACATTAATTATAATGAGTGTGACTAACGTTTCTTGCCTTGTTGCTATAGTAATAATAATACTAATAACGAGTGTAACTAACGCTTGCTGCCGTGTTGCTCTAGTAATAATAATAATAATAACGAGTGTAACTAACGCTTGCTGCCTTGTTGCTATAGTAATAATAATACTAATAACGAGTGTAACTAACGCTTGCTGCCTTGTTGCTATAGTAATAATAATANTAACTAACGTTTGCTGCCTTGTTGCTATAGTAATAATAATAATATTAACGAGTGTAACTAACGCTTGCTGCCTTGTTGCTATAGTAATAATAATAACGAGTGTAAATAACGCTTATTGCCTTGCAGGTGTTGGACCAGAGCAACACGGTGCTGCCACTCTACAGCCACTCTGGTATCAAGTACATCTTCGACCACTCGTTCGACACAGCCATGACGGCGTTCCTGGAGTGCTTCATGGAGCTGGTGCGGGCTCTGGAGCAGCGCACCAACACCACGCTCAGCCTGCCATACCCCATTGACAAGCACTGCCTCCATGACCCCCAGGGCGGCGCTCGATACTCAGTCAAGTCAGTTGCCTTACACAGTCATGTCAGTGGATTGCATAAATCCAGTTAGTTGCTTTACACAGTCAAGTCAGTTGATTGCCTCAGTCGAGTCAGTTGCTTTACACAGTCAAGTCAGTTTTTGCTCAGTCGAATCGGTTGCTTTGCCTAGTCAATCCAGTTGCTTTGTTCTAAGTAAATATTTTTCGTCAACTAGACTCGTTTTTCCGCCTATCTGCGCCATTATTTTCGTCAACTAGACTAGGTTTCCGCCAATCTGCGCCAAAATTTTCTATCAACCGACTTGTTCTGTTTGGGCAGGACGCAGTTCACGCCTGACGAGCAGTGGACGAAGGCCCTCAAGTTCCTCCTGACGAACCTGAAGTGGGCGCTGACGTGGGTGTCGTCGCCGCTGCTGACGGGGACGTGCCCTGGCTTCGGTCTGTCTTCATCGTCGCGGTCGACGCCGCGCGCTATCAACGCGCCCGATCCTACACGTCGTAATCAGCGTTGAAATTAATTACGTTCCTAGTATTTGACCTTCGTTGATTTTGCTTTTTTAAATACCTTGGCAAACATGCATACAATTTTTTAGTGTTATTATGATGAAATGAACACCGTACCCGTCAATGTAATATTTTTCGACGTATTCGCCACATGGGACATGACAGAGACTTGTTTCTAGTCATTTTTATAGGAAATTATTCATGGCTGAGGTTTGATATTCCCCGTCCGACTGAAACAAACCTAAGCAATTTGTGATGTTTCTCTTATAAAATTGGAAAATGCATGTCTGGGATTTAATTTACATTTTTGATAATTTTGGGGATTTTTCTACCTATTTCATTCATTCGAACAACACTTGGGGCATTTGTCGCTTTGAAAAATGATTACCTACAAACACTACCAGTGATATTATTTTTACAATTAGTGTACGTATGTATAAAGTATTTAATGTTAGTGTTCAGTTGGATCAGTGCTAATACGTAGTACTTTTTCTTGTAGGTAGTGTTGATGGTGATAATGCAGCATGGTTCAGGCCGTGCGTTGAGATGATGGTGATCGTGCAGCATGGTTCAGGCCGTGCGTTGAGATGATGGTGATGATGCAGCATGGTTCAGACCGTGCGTTGAGATGATGGTGATGATGCAGCATGGTTCAGACCGTGCGTTGAGATGATGGTGATGATGCAGCATGGTTCAGGCCGTGCGTTGAGATGATGGTGATGATGCAGCATGGTTCAGACCGTGCGTTGAGATGATGGTGATGATGCAGCATGGTTCAGACCGTGCGTTGAGATGATGGTGATAGTGCAGCATGGTTCAGACCATGCGTAGTGATGATGGTGATAGTGCGCTACTTTACACTAGTTACTGGGAAGAAGCTAAGTAGCTATTCTCTCCTCACTTAAGTTATCGTGGTATAGCTGTACTATGTTCACTTATGTTGTTGCCTTAGTATCAAATGTTTAAATATCTTCATTGCAGTTCTGCTACTCTTATTTGACTTGTGAATAAATGAGATTTTGCATCAAAATTTTTTACTCCTCTACTTTTTAATCTTAAGGTTGTCATCCGCAGGGAACGTTGCTTTATCTTGAATATTACAAGATTGATTCATGAATTATGTCATTATTCATCTTCATCACATGTTCACTGATGAGAAATTAGTAGATTTATTGTGGCCTTTTCATTCAACTTTGCTGAATTTGATTGCATTTTGGCCTGCAAATCATCAATGTTTTTAAGCCAATGAATATTATTCTTTTATGCATTCTTAATAGTAATGTAGTTGAAATAGCGCAGTTTTTCAGTCACTTGTTTTGCCAATTAATTGTACGTCACGTAGCCGCAAGAACAACCAGTGCGCAGAAATTTTTTCCCTTCATTAAGGCCGCTTCTATTGTATTGAAGAATTGATTTCACTTTTAATAAAGCAACGCAGGGGGTGTGTCGCAGCAACCCCCCGGGCCCCGATCGCTGCTATCTAATTATACTTCATATTATTGCTGCTTGTTTTTTCCATATTTATAAATTTACAGGAATCTTCCTTCTCGGTGTTCATTCTAGTGTCGTTCTCTGGGTTCGCTGTTCAATATCCTGATGAGAAGTATCACTAGTCATCAACGTAACTTCGTAAACCATCACTAACTCCGGACCCATCGATGTACTAGCTGCAAGATAACTTCGAAGTGTTCCTGTAAACCGACACAAACTATTTCGTTCATCTACCTTCTTTACCTGATCCTCTCCAAACGATCATAACTTTCAGTCAAGAGCATGTTTAAAACATCTTACCGATCCTGCATTTGGAGGAGTGAGCACTGGTACGGCCTTCCTGACCTGGGGCCCATACTTTCAAAAAAGTTAAAGAGATCGTAAGTTCATCAGCCAATCATTGACAGCCTTTCAAGCAAAATCCACCAATCATAGACAAGAAAATAGATCGTAAGTACTTACGTTCACTTAGCGAGTTTTGAAAGTACTGGGGGTCTCCACTGATCATTATGACCAGGTCGAACTGCGATTTTCATGGGTACCTTGCATGGGCCGTATTTTAAAAAGCCGCTAATGCACGCGAGCGCTTATTTCTCGTCTCTGTTAAGCATGTTTAGTTTGAATAGATCAGTGATTCATTGAGGTTACTAACTCGTAACTATTGATGATAGTACGGCCTCTGAACCAGTTACTCACCTATCGTGAACAAGCGACTTCGCTAATGCTGCTTCATCATCGAATTGAGCAGCACTGCAAGTTTACCGCAATAACTGCAAACGACGGTAGCCACCTCCAAATGACACTAAGAAAATTACTTTGACATAATAATTACTTTGTAGGCTAGGATGACGCACATGTGTGCATAATGTGCGTATTTATTTAGACTTTGTCTCACTTATTTCTCTTAGTGAAGAAGCATACTACCGTGTACTGACGCGGCGCCGATGCTACAAATGGCAGAGTTTGTGCCGTATAGGGCACCGTCCTTCCATCATCCTGTAGCAACAAGAAAAAATAACGTACTCTCGTTATTCTTCTATCATTTATAATGAATATAATTGCGATCCAAAGACTGATGCTATATTTCGGTGATGGATTCTTTATTCCACACGTGAAGTTACTTACCTCTTAACTTCTAACTCAAGACTCTAAATCCAAGTTATTAGTGACAAGTCTTCTCTACGGTTATCATTGCCCAAGTTCCTCGGTTCGTTGGTTTTAGCCTACTTATGATAAATAATCTCATTAAAAATATGTCCATTGTTCCAGATCTGCGTTTTCAGAGCAGTCAATATAATTATTTTGATATAGCACATCACAAACAATGAAGGGCCTCAAGAAAGACACCAGCGCTACGCTGCTCGACGTCGACGAGTCTATCCTCACCAACAGCCTGCGTCTGCACGTGAGCACGTTCAGCTTCAGTAGTTAATTAATAAACACTACATTTTTATACAACAATATTTTTTGTGCATTTTCTCATTTATGGAAAAAATGCACTAATGTGCTCGTCATGTCCGTCCGTCCGTCCGTGACTACGTTTTCGTCGACGAGAAAATGCGCTCTCTGTCACTCACTGCAGTGAGTACTGAGTTATTTTTTTTTTACAAGTGCTATGTATCATCCAGTTATACCTTATCCTTGTTTAGTTCGTCTACGTGATACGATATTATTAAGATCAGGTTATAGTTTTATTTAGATACAGGGCGATGAGACGGATGAATGATGATAATTTGAGATAAACTTGAATATTAATTTCATTTTCACGCCAGGAGGTCATTTATTTTCTTTTAGGAGTTCATGAAGCATGGTAATATATTTTGTTCTTCTGGACGTATTCATAGCTGAAGCGCTAGTAAACCATTCTACTACTTACTTATTTATAATTATCGATAAGCATCGAATACTAGTGTTGAAATACGCTATAGTAGCTATTTATTTCATTATATTGCTTAGATTATTTCATTAATGAAATTAATGTAATTTCATTAATGTAATCTATTTATTTCATTATATTGCTTAGATTACATTATTAGATTGCATTGCTTTACCCTAACAAACTTTGGTGTCAGGGCGGTGTTGATGCACCTCAGGAGCTGTCACAGCTGCTGCCAGATCCACGTCTCGCCAACGCCATCACCATCTCCCCTCTGCCTGGTTTGTCTACACGTGTTTCCTTCACTACATTAGCATTGAGATTAGTAGAAAAAATCTATTACTAATGTTGATATCAAACATATTTCAGCAGGCTTCATGCCATAAAACTTATCGTTTGCTGCTCATCGTAGAACGTAGAACTTTTTGCTTTTTGATTTTTTTTGCGTAGCACTTTTTGCTATTGCGTTAAGTGACAATAATAATACTGTTTACTTTTTATCAAGTTTACCGTTAATAGTAAGGACCCCGCTACTTGGTATGTCTTCCACCGTCTCGCATGTGTAAGTGATGGCGGGAGTTCTAACATAAATGGTGCTTTAGTCCCCACAGCACTATCGTCGCCGCTCTTGCAATATAAACGATCTATTTTATAAATATAACTGAACCACAACTTTCTTTCGCTCTCGATACCGCTTAGTAGTTATTTTGTCTGGCCGGTTCAGTTGCTGTGATAGCCGTTTTTTGTTTTTTAGTCTTGCCGGTTCAGTTTTTTTTGTATTTTTTCTTGCCGGTTCAGTTACACTATAATATATGGACGCTGCGCTCAGATGAACCTGCTTGCACGGCAAGAATATGCGTCTGTATTTCCTTCAATTTAAATTGGTTTCTAAGACCGCGATCTGTTCAAACTGTTATGAGACTAAAAGTTTCGTTGTGTGCTTCAAACTTGTTATTAATTTATTTGTTGTCCTATTCTTTAATCATTTCATCTATTGTCCTATGAAACTTAATTTTTTTTAATCATTATCGTCTCGGTCAGATTGAATTTGCGTAGTATTGCAATTGTATTGTGTTGTAAGTTGCCACCAGGATAATGACAGTATCTTGAAAACAGATTAATTCAATTTTAAATATTATCCTGGCAATAATATAGATAGTTATCGCTCAGATCTCGAGACGATTTCTGCTTGAACGTAATTTACGTCTGGCAGGTATGTGAGAAATCGGCCGCTACGTGTGCCTACATGGGCCGCCACGTGTACGTGAGCGTGTTTTGATAGTACGGCCTCAGAGCTTTATATGTGATTTCTGCTTGAACGTAATTTACGTCTGGCAGGTATGTTATAAATCGGCCGCTACGTGTACTTGGGCCGCTACGTGTGCCTGGGCCGCTACGTGTACTTGAGCGTGTTTTGATTGTACGGCCTCAGAGCTTTGTACGATTCCTTATGAACGTAATTTACGTGTGTCAGGTATGTGCGTCAAGACGAAGCTGTTGCGAGGTGACAACAAAATCTTTATTAACGTCTGCACGAGCGGCACCATCCCGCCTCCTGAGGACCTCACTGACGACGAACTCCTCGAGGTCACTTGTATGGAGTTTGTTATCATAAGCAAATTATGTTACCTGTAAAAATTGTTAATGAAAATCAATTTTATCAGGAAAGTGTAATGTTTGTACAATCATCTTCTAGAAATTTGTGTTCTGTTCTAAATTTATAAGTGTAATATATTTATTTTATTAGAGATGCAAATATTTTCGTCGGATCAAGTTGTATGAGATGATGTTAGACTCTTATATGCCTTCTGGATGATAAATTGGCCAATTTCTTTTGGTTATTAGTTGGCCGGGAATGTTTTTGTTTCGTTATCGCCTATCGCAGCGTTTAAAGCTTTATCTTCTCTTACAATGTAGATTCTGAACAGCGACGAGCCGTCCGATTTCCGCATCCCGATGTCCATCGGAGCTCCACATGAAGAAGTCGACAAAAGTTAGTCTTATATGTGTTTATTTTATACAATATTGATATTACATATAGTTTTTCATTCAATTTATCAGGACTCAGGAGAGAAAACTTCTACTTTGATATTTTTCTTTAGTGAAGCTGGTAAAAATTTCCTCAAACTGAAGACTTAAATGCCATCGCTCTTTATAAGAATTATTTTTTAATATTTAATGTTCGATGACGGCAGAGGGAAAGTCGTGCACTGCGTACGACGTCGTGGTCAACCCCGAGTTCCTGGACAAGGCTCGCGACAATTTGCTGTTCAACAACTTTTTCGTGATCGCCACGTGCGAGGCGCTCGAGATGAAGTACGACATCGAACTCGACAAGAACGGTAAGTTTCGTCACTCACAGAAATGAGCGATTCATTGTCCAACTAGTAATGAACTTTTTGAACTTGAGCTCAACAAGAACGGTAAGTTTCGTCACTCAAGAAATAAGCGATTCATTGTCCAACTAGTAATGAACTTTTTGAACTTGAGCTCGACAAGAACGGTAAGTTTCGTCACTCAGAAAAATAAGCGATTCATTGTCCAAATATTAATTCACTTTTTTGAACTTGTGCGGGTCAAAAAGTGCATGACTGTGTTGTTGTGTTACGACGTAACCCAGTTCGGCAAGTCAAAAGGGCGTATCCGTGCTACATTCGCTTTCTGCTGGCGATGTGGTTTAGGAAGTGGGTCACTATTGGGATTATATGAGCCATTCATTTTTCTAAGTGTGTAGCTGTAGCTTGAAGGTACAGTGTATGTTCCAAGTGCAGCTTAAGCTAACCCTGGAACATGCATTGTACCTTCAAGCTATAGCTGATTTAGTGTACCTGTTTGTTATGTAAGTACATGAAAAGGTAAGTAATCAGCTTGAAGGTACCCTGCATGTTCCATGTGTAGTTGTAATGTATCTGTTGGTTGTGTACGTGTACATGGAAAGCATATAGTATTTGTTCATATAAGTGGCGGCTAATGTGTGGGTCAATTTACCGTGACTGTTAATGGCATCTGAATCTGAGTGTTCAACGCATTATTTTAACCGTCTTGTTAGAAGCAACTTTTAGTATTTCGTTTGACTCCGAAATCAATTATGTTTTGTAATATATCGTTTTGTCAGGTTGAACAATGTAGAAGAAATTGCTTAATTTCTTTGTCATTGAGAAGCTTTGAGAAGGTTTTCCCTGATTATTCCAATGGAAACATCAAAACTATTATTTATACATAGGAAACCTTGAAATTAATGCATGGTCTTAATTATTTTCACCACACCAGGCTGGACCATCTTGAAGAACAAGCTGTACTTGGGTACTCTGGAGAAGCAGTCTGTGCGCACCGCCGTGCCCCTGGTGCAAGAGCTCAGCGGCAAACGCCCTGCCCCGAAGTCAGACTCCACAGAGTCTAAAGAATCTCTGCTCACTGTTAGATCATCTCGATCTCTGACAGAGTCTAAAGAATCTCTGCTCACTGTAAGATCATCTCGATCTCTGACAGAGTCTAAAGAATCTCTGAAACTGAACTCCACAGACGACCTCAAGAACATGGATGTGGAGGATGTTGTTTCTCAAAGCAGCAATCCAATAAGCAATAAAGATAAACACGCGCGACAACTAACCCCCCTGGAGACAAGAAAGTTACAAGGGGATAATGAGACAAAGAAGAAACTCAAACCAAAGTGTGAACTGAAAAGACTGTTGAGCGAAAATAAAGTTGGACCCAAAGAAATGATCGGCGTTGCTGCGTATATCGAGCTCCCTGGCCAGGTTCGTGTATTTTATTTCATTGAAAATTTTTGAGACGCTTGAGAATCAACCTATTCGATGCGTCATTTGCCATGTTACTAATTAATTAATGAATTAACGAAGAAATCAATAATGAACGTTGATATGGACAGTTAATTAATTAATAAATTAACGAAGAAATCAATAATGAACGTTGATATGGACAGTTAATAAATTAACGAAGAAAATAATAATGAACCTTGATATGGACAGTTAGTAAATTAAGGAATAAATCAATAATGAACGTTGATATGGACAGTTAGTAAATTAACGAAGAATTTAATAATGAACGTTGATATGGACAGTTAATAAATTAAGGAAGAAATCAATAATGCACGTTGATATGGACAGTTGAATAAATTAAGGAATAAATCAATAATGAACCTTGATATGGACAGTTAGTAAATTAAGGAATAAATCAATAATGAACGTTGATATGGACAGTTAGTAAATTAACGAAGAATTTAATAATGAACGTTGATATGGACAGTTAATAAATTAAGGAAGAAATCAATAATGCACGTTGATATGGACAGTTGANGACACTACGCATCATTTGTTGATACACTAGACACGACGCATCATTTGTTGATACACTAGACACGACGCATCATTTGTTGATACACTAGACACAATTCATCATTTGTTGTGCAGATGATGTTGGTGCGCGCGCCACTTCTCGCCACATGAGGGATCAGTTGATCTGAGCGGCGCTTCAATCAGCAGGATTGAAACAATGTTAATAATTTCGTCATCTTACTCTCATTATTAATGTATAGTATTCACTTATTTCCCATGGTCAAAGTAATTTATCCTGTGAAGATCCTCAATGGAAATATCATCGTTAAAAACAATCTACTGCACTATCCTGAATAAGAAGAGATTACAATTCAGCACAATTATTATTATTATATTAACATTATCATTATTATATTAACTGGAAGCAAGACAATTATTTTGATTTTACTAAATATCCATTGAATACCACTAAGACGGAGTCAAACACAGCTTATCTTGTGTACTCCAATCCTGATTCTTTTTGCACCTAGAAAATCTGATGAATTTGAATTTCAAACTATCATTTTGTTTTTTTTTAAGCTCCTCAACGTACTTGAAATGTTAAATAAATTGAATCCTAATTTGAAAATTTTTTTTCTTTATTATAGACGCCGTTTTTCCTAGTATAGGTTAACTTTAAAGCTACAATTGTATCAATAATATACTTTATTGAGAGGGACAGCGATGACGCGAGAGCATAACTTGACGTGCCTCGACGCGATCGGTGAGGGAGCGGTAGGGTTAATAACAAAAATTAATAAGAAACTTTTATCTTAAACGGAATAGTTACGAGGACATTTTATATAGTATGAACAAGAAGTACACGAAGTAAGTGAATGTTTACAAATGTGAAACAAAGGCTCTAAAATAAATGAACGCTACCGTCAGAGAAGCAACATTTGTATAAACAACAAGCAGCGCTGTTATAAACGTGGGAGGTTCCATTGGTCATATTTTTTTAAGCAATTCACAAGCAATAATCATTATTCTTTCGCAACATCGGCACAAAAATTAGAGTAAGCGTTTGGAAATTTAAATCGATCTCTAAATTCCAGTTCTCAATCTTATTTTCTTTTATTACCAGCGTTATGGAAAAACGTCTGAGAATCGTTCGCACATAAATCATTCCATGAAATATCAAACTCATGTTGAGTGTGAGAATTTCCACAAAAAATGGGTTATACCAGCACCCGATCGGACATTTGAGCTCTGCTCAATCTTATACAGGTTGGGGAAAATATCCAAGTTGAACAATACAATAACAATATTGTTATTGTTAACAAACAATAACAAATATTGACCTCAAAACTACCATTCTAGGTAATTCATCAGTGTCAAAGCCTATACCACTTCGAATTGTGGAATAAGAGATCAGTTTTAATTATTAGTGTATACAAATTTTTGACCTTAGGATAAAAGTTAGTTATAATTAAAACCTAACAAACGATCAATAACGTGAAATACATCAAGTGACCACAAACTGCGCAACTACTTTGATGCCACAACATAATCACTGTAATAAATAACATATAATAACAATGAAATCTTTAACAACTACTTGACTCCAATCTGCAATGTACTGTTAGTTGCACGAACTTCGAATTTTTTTTTTTTTTTTTTTTTTTTGTGGAGAAGTCGTAATCAATAAATGAAATTTAACGTAACAAATTTCCAGCCGATTCAATCCGCCTGAAAAGTTATATTAAGAGCCAAGCGAAACATGAGTGCCGTTGGTTTTTATTTCCATCTAAATCCTCATTGAGCGTTGCTTAATGGGACTTATTATTTGGCTCTCTATGACGGTAGCCAACTTAATTTATAATAATACAGTACGGCCAATATTATATTACTATACGGACAATACAATATTTTTACACGGCCAATATTACATTACAATAGAGCCAATATGATGATACTATGCGACTAATATAAAATTGCAATGCTGCTAATGTAACATAAAAATTCAGCGAATCTAATATGATGCGGGGCCAATTTAAGATAATAATAATAGCGGTCTCAGCGTTTAGTAGGCCGTAGGCCTGTCGCCAATTCTTAACATCGCAGAACATTCACAGCATTTTGCGGTCTCGAACTCGCAACGCACTGCTACAATTCTGCTGTGCTTAACCGCCCGGCCTCCTCGCCGATTCTGACCAGAAACTGGCGCACAGAGCTGGGATCGAACCCACGCCTCTCTGCGCCAATCTTGGTACTCTGAACTTTAACCACTGGGCCACCCTGCCCAGTGCCCACCCTGCCCAGATAACAAAAACAATTCAGCAAGAAGACGGGTTAGACAAGTCGTGGCAGCAGTCAATGTTGTAGCGCTCCTCGTGGTACAGCTTCAGGATGAGGTTGATAACGCCCGTGGTGTCGGGGTCGCTGAGCCACAAGTTAGCGTTGCTAGGGTTAGAGCACAACGCCAGCAACGCTGTAAGTGCAAGCTTGATGAGAACATGGTGGTGGATGACGCTTTAAAACGTCAACACGCTTGATGAGAGCATGGTGGGGGATGACGCTTTAAAACATCAACGCAGTATGACTCCGACAGAGTTCAGATGATGATACAAAACGAGTCATGATGATGTTGATACCGGACAACCATGTTGATATGGACCAATCAAGTTGTAGTTTACCGTCAACTTCTAAAAATATTCTTATCTCATGAATAGTTTACTATTAATGTTGAAAAGCGTGCCACGGTTAACTCGGAAATGGAGGGCAAGGCTCGCCCGTTCTTTTCACGAATAAATGGCAATTGCCTCCAACAATACAAAATGAAATTGCAAAAATAAATTAAACAAAATTAAACTCCAACAAAAATAAATGAAACTGCCTCAAACAATACAAAAAATATAATATTATTTTTTCCCTTTAGTATTGTAATATGGGCCTCACCGTACAGAACTTTGGGCTTCTGGAGGGCGACCTGGACGACGGAGGCGGCCATGATGCTGGCCATGATAGGGTGGTGGGGCGGGGGAGGCGTGTACAGCAGGTCACAGTTGTGCTTACGCTCCTCCTCTAGCACATCTCGCTGAGCCAACAACCAATCATCAACAATAAATTATCAATTAAGTATGAACATTAATCAATAATTTCTTCTTTTCAAAATTATTTATTTACTCACACCCTAATTTTGTTATCAAGTAAATTGCCGATGTCGCGACGCGGTACTCACGGCGAGCGTCTCGTCGTTCTCTGCCTGCATGAGCGCATCGAAGACGCGCGTGCTGGAGAAGCCGCGCCCCACCAGCCGCTCATACGACGCTGTGTGAGGCTGTTGAAGAGGCGTAAAGAGGCGTGTGAGGCTGTTAAAGAGGCGTAAAGAGGCGCGTGAGGCTGATAAAAAGGCGTGTGAGGCTGTTAAAGAGGCGTTTGAGGCTGTTAAAGAGGCGTGTGAGGCTGTTAATGAGGCGTGTGAAGCTGTTAAAGAGGAGCGCCCCACCAGCCGCTCATACGACGGCGCGTGAGGCAGTCAAAGAGGCTCGTCAGCGTCAGGCTTGTGAGCAGTTTTGATCAACGCGGAATATAAATACCGTCCGTCAATTGGGGATATTTGGTCAGAGTTTGAGTGATTTGGTCAGAGTTTGAGTGATTTGGTCAGAGAGTTGGGATAACTTGGTCAGGGTTGGATGACTTTGCCGGGTTCGGGAGGACTTTGGCGGAAATAGAGATGACTCGGTTGATATTTTTTTTTGCCTTAAATAATAAAGATATAATTTACTGTGATCAGTATTTTGGTGAATCTGTCCAGAATTATGGTTCCTGTCGACTGGGATGCCTCAAAGCAGAATTATTACAATTTTGGAATAAAAAATCGTATCTACCCCAGAACGACGATACTGAAGTGTTTTTTTCTGGTTTTTTGGGTCTCATCATTATTCGAACTCGGACGTTTGCTAGCATGTAATTATAATTCAACTCGCTCGCATTTAAAAAAAATAATTCAAGTATAATAAAAAAAATTGAAATATACCGTAATAGCTCACCACAAAGAAAGTCCTCCTGAAGTGCCAGAAGCGCGGCATGAGCACCTCGACAGGGTCGTCAGCGTCGGTGAGATCAACGAAGGGCGCCGTGGACGGCAGGTGCTTGTGAGGGTCGTTGTCGGTGAGCCAGCCGGCCGCCTCCTCCACGGAACTGAGCAGTGAAATTCATACGTCACTTATGTCGTCACTTATGTCGCCACTGCCCGGAACTGAGCAGTGCAATTCACACGTAACGTCACTTATGTCGCCACTGCCCGGAACTGAGCAGTGCAATTCATACGTAACGTCACTTATGTCGCCGGCCTTCAATTGAAACTATTTATTTTTAAGCCAAACTGATCAACAACTTTCGATCAAGATCGAAACAGCTTCGTAATCATCATGTGGCAATCAAACTTTACAGATCATTANCCACTGCACGGAACTGAGCAGTGCAATTCATACGTAACGTCACTTATGTCGCCACTGCGCCGAACTGAGCAGTGCAATTCATACGTAACGTCACTTATGTCGCCGGCCTTCAATTGAAACTATTTATTTTTAAGCCAAACTGATCAACAACTTTCGATCAAGATCGAAACAGCTTCGTAATCATCATGTGGCAATCAAACTTTACAGATCATTATTCTGGCCGATAATGTAAGATTTTTCATGAGTATCTGCTCATGCGTCATTGACGGTAACTTTATCTTTCGGAATTAACAACGAAATGCACAATTCGTCACAAACGATCAACATTTCAATGGTATCTTTCAAGGATGCCAGCTACTAAATTCGTTGCATATGTTGCATCTAAACTAGGAGGAGTGTAGGCCGGCCTCTCGCTACACCCCGGTGAGTGGAGTGGATCCCAAGTGCCAGATGATACTTGTTAAATTGTTTCTTGTTTAATAATTGTTTAGCCATAATGATAAGGCATCAGTACTAACTATTTTCTAACTATATCCAACCTAACTTTTCCAACTATTTCTAACCTAAATATTGAATAACAAACTAATTGATCAATAGTATACCAACTCTCAATGTATTAGTACCTTCGAAACATATCCACAGAGAATTTTGGTGTACTAGAGGTGTAACACACTAGAGAACGTAGACCGGCCACTCACCTCTTGAACTTTAGAGCGATGACGGCTTTAGCTTCACTAAATCCCATGTCCTGTGAACACAAGAAAATAATTCATATGATACGATGCATGAAATTTGACAAATAACTGTTTTCTTTCAATTCTGAACAAGACTTCTTGTAAGCAAAGCTCAAAAAAAAACAATTACCGTATTGTAGTATAGTTATTTTCGTATTAAGAAAGATTATGGTGACGACATCGCATTAATGATCGTGTTTGCAATCGCGTCGTTTTTTGTCTGATTAGCTATGAACAAGTGATTTTAAGCAAGGGATTTTTACGCCTGAGCTAAAAATGCCCAACATATAATACCTTCTTACGTAATGCGTGAAAAATTTGTTACAAACTTTCACTAAATATTTCAAGTTATAAATTAACTGGAGTATAACATTTGAATTCTAATACCGGCGTTAGGAAAAAGCACATCGTGTTCATCTCAAAAAACAATCGTAAGGATCTTGATGGTGCTGAGCTTCATAATAACTGAACTCTATGAGATCTATTAATAAAATCTTCATCAATTGTATTTGGATCAATCGAGATCTATTAATAAAATCTGTATCAATTGTATTTGGATCAATCGAGATCTATTAATAAAATCTGTATCAATTGTATTTGTATCAATTGAGATCTATTAATAAAATCTGTATCAATTGTATTTGTATCAATCGAGATCTATTAATAAAATCTGTATCTATAAATAAAATCTGTAATCAAATAACCTTGAGCTTCTTGATGCTGTCAGGCTTCATGCTGCTGCGGTGGCGGCGCTCGAGCTTGTCAAGGATGGCCAGGAACGCGTCCTGCGTACTGCGCGCGTCTCCCAGATGGCGGAGGCTGCAGTGTGCCATACCAAGCAGGATACGCCTCAGCAACAGGTGCTTCCCGTGCACCTGCACCACACAAACAAGTTCTAGCATCTGTCTGAACTTGGGCTTACATGGTTCAGAGTTGCAGCAACAGGTGCTTCCCGTGCACCTGCACCCCACAAACAGGTCTAGCATCTGTCTGAACTTGGGGTTACATGGTTCAATTTCAGCCATGCGATGGCTATAACAACCCGTGGACGCGACGGTCTAATTTCTAACTGAAGTGACAGTGGGAGGAATGTCATAGTAAGGACTGACCAGCAGCAGGAGAGATAGAGAGACTTTATACAACTTAAGCTTCTTTCTACACGATACTAACAATCCATTATTTGCTATATCATTACTGTGTTATTGTTATCTAGTTTCATAGATTATTAAAAACAACTTTCATAAGCCGGCATAAACTCCATACACTTTTTTAAGAGGCAAACTGTGTTGAAATTTATTTAATCATGGATTTAGAACACATGAGATGGTACTACTTAACTGCAGGTACTACTAACTTTAGGTACTACTTAACTGTAGGTACTACTAAACTTTAGGTACCTCTTAGCTGTAGGTACTACTTAACTTCAGGTACTACTTAACTGCAGGTACTACTTAACTGTAGGTACTACTTAACTGCAGGTACTACTTAACTGTAGGTAATACTTAACTGAAACTAATACCCCAATGCCTCACCAATTACGGGTGCACTCAAGTGAGAAAGACGACAACATTGTGGATGCAATCGAAAATTGTGGGTCTCTGAGACTCACATGTGGTGTCTATAGCTTAAGATAGCAGGAGCATGTCACTCAGATAAAAATAGGTCACGTTGTACAAATAGTGGTAGACTTCGTAGAACTCATACGCCCTCATTCCGGACAAAGGTAGGTTAAGGATGTCCTACAAAACGGCAAGAAGAGCATTAATATTAGGACAAAGTTTCTCTATTTTTCTGACTGTAGAGCTAAATTCATAACGGGTACAGCACCTCCAGAGTTCTGCAGCTACAGGTGTTGGTGCTGGCAACTCTAGGTTCGTAGGGCACGTCTGCCGTGGCCCGCCGGATCTCGTCTTCAGAAGGAGGACCTCCGACCAGGTACTCCGTCATGAGGCCTTGTTCCTCTGCCTGCCTGCGCAGCGCGTCCAGGCTGTCGTCGGGCTGGATGAGGCGGCGAGTTGCCTGAGACACTTGCTGCGGCCGCTCAAGTAGCAACAGATTTGCTGGTGAAAGAATTAAAACGAAATAATTTCCCTTCTGAAGCTATTTATTAATAGAATTAAAATTGTTCAAAAAGCTCGGATAAATTTTGGAGCACTCTACACGTCCCGAAAATGTTCGAGAATGATAAACCTTATGAGGCAATCAAGAATGGGGATACTTCTAGTGGGCCAATCGAGTTATTCAAGACGTCACCGAAAAAAAACACTCAACAGAGTAACCCCATAAATGTTCTTTATTTAAAGACAGTTTAAATAGCCGGGTGAGCACACGCTACTTTTGCAATTATTTCGACGCTTTTAAGCGCATTTTCTCATTTATGGAAAAAATGCACTATATTGTGCTCGTCGTGTCCGTCCGTCTGTCTGTCCGTCCGTGACGTCAAGTTTTCGGCGACGAGAAAATGCGTTCTCTGTCACTCCCTGCAGTGAGTACTGAGTTATATTTTCTATTAAATGACGTGACATACCTCCACTGCGAACATCCTCCTGTGCTAGCGACGATTCGTCTGCCAACTTGCGGCGCTGGTCAGCGTGAAGCAGCAGGTACTGAGGAGTCTGCTGTTCAGCGGGCGTCAAGTTCAGCTGATCAGCGGGAATATGGTACATATGATCAGTGGGTGTGCGATACATCTGATCAGCAGGCATCTGGGGCAGCTGATTGGCCACGGCTGCCGCTGGAGTTACAAAGCGCCCCACCAGCAGCCGCTTAAGCTGCTCCACAGTCATGTTCGATGGGATCGTCACCTCGTACTTCTCTCTGGCGTTGCAGAACCGCGCGGTAACCTAAAGTTGCAGATAAGCGTTACTAAATTTTGCGCTAACCTGGATTAAATTATCATGGTGACAATGTTTTTTTTTTGCAGTCAGGGTCGGGTAAACATCACATATTGCACCAATAAGTGTAAATTGAAATGAACTAAATGAGTTAGAGTTGTGCTGCATCGTTAGATTAGATGAATGGCATTCACATTGCAACTATATGATGTGTACGTACCATTGAATCTATATGGCATTGCAGCTATAAGACGTGTGCCACGAGCGCAACTTCCCCGACCAACTACTGTTATTTTCCGCTCACAAGAAACATATTTTTCGCTATTAGGTAGAGAGTAAATCAGTAACCATACAAAACAATAGTAACATCTCTACACAGAAAAATATCTTACTTAAACAGTTATTAGACGCTATGAAGCAGCATCAATATTAACAAGGTGGTGTGAAGGCTCACCGAAATGGTGTTATCACTCAAGGCTGAGTTGAGCGAAGCTGGCATCGTCTCCATCTTCATTGCTGTCGCAGGTACAGAGTTAATTATTGGTCACTGTTGTTCTCCAACTGATGAAATGAACAAGATATTAACTACGAGAGATCTCATTTTCAGGAGTGATATTTCTTTACAGTTCATTTGTTCCCAAACTCAACTGTTATTGACTACAACTTTTGACTTCGCATCTGAAAAAATGGATGAAAAGCATAATTGCGTTTAATCTCCACGAAATATTTTAACTTCTTATTCCAGTTGCTTTGCCGTCGTTGTTTTCCAACGACAGCTCTACCGAGGCACAAAAATTCAAGCTTGGAGGAAAGTGAAATGTTTTATTTTGCTGACCAAGAAGCAAGTTACAGACGTTATCAGTGATGATAAAATTTAGATCTCGCACAGAGTTCCAAATTGGTTCGTGCGAGTTCCACTCGCACCCGGTAATGCGAGTTCCAAATTGGGACATCGGGACCGGGGGATCGAATAATCCCCAAGTAGGAGTAATCCCTACCCCCTGCGGATGTGTACTTAATATTGCGTGTGAATTCAAGTGCACGAGTCCGAGACATTCTACGTGTGTATGTCGTGCCGAAATCGCGGAATTGCCGATTCTATGGAAACGGCAGCCAGTTTGCAGAATCTGTAGAATCAGCATTTCGTTGCTGATTCAGAAAATTGGATGTTAGAGTTAGAACATGAATCACAGTTAGAGTTAGAAAAGGTTAGGTCAACTTCCTTTATATTTAAATATTTAAAAAAAACTTGGCTGACTGACCTAACCCCAGATTCCTTTAATACAGAAATGCTGAATCTACCGGTTCAGCAAACTGGCTGCCGATTCCATAGAATTGGCTATTCCGCGATTTTGGAACGACATATACACAATGCTGCGTTCACGCATCGTTGTGCGTGAACCCATAATTGTGCATGCGTAAGTTACTGTGCGCGGGCATGTAATTGTTGGTGTGGGTTAAACTAAGCATTTCTCTGCTATGCCAAAAATACAAGACGCGCGCTTTTCAACATATTATTGAACTGAAGGCACTTATGAAGCGCAAGTAATGTTCAGAACAAGCAGATCAGTCTCGAGTTTTCTTTAAATTACAAACTTTATAGCGCTTTTCCATCTGCGATTGTTAAATTAACGATTAGACAAGAATTAACGATTAAAGAAAGAAGAATTAACGATTAAAAATAAATTAATAATTATTAAGCATCTTGTCAAGTCATCATTGGATTCACATTTGACAAGAAACATTTAAAACGAGTAAGAATGAACCATAAATCTAGGCACGACTTATGATAGGTCAGGAGAAAAATACAGGGTTCAATAAATATTTACTGTATAGTTTCCCGATAACCTCAATGTTTTATATTAACTTAGATCCTGGCTTGGAAACGACATAGTGTTTCGATTTTGTGGGCACAAAATCGTTTTGCGCAAAATCGAAAGTGAAGTCAAACTCTCCTCACATCAACACAAAAGGCAAGATTCGCGACAAACAGCATCATCCTTGCTAAAATAAAAATAATTCAGTATACAGTCACAGGATATTTAGATGCACAAGCTAAAAAAAACATTCCATAACTCCACTAGAAAAATTAATTGAAAATATTTTGTTGGTAAAAAACACGATATATTTTGGCAGAAATTGTATACAAATGGGTCAGTTGTTTCGATGTGATTAAAAAAACTTGTGTTCACTTGCCAGCAGTTCACTCAACTGCTCGCCAACAGTCCACTCGTTGTACGCATAAAACAAATGCAGCACAAATGTTACACACGTCCTTGCATCACAGGAAGCACAAAGCCCGATTGCACTTCAGTAAATGTACATAACTCCTGGGCAAATATTGCCGTCAAACAAACTAATTTGAAGTACCCGAGCTATGTGAAAAAATCTACCCACACTGTACAAAAACTGCAACTACATTCAAAGGTATAAAATCTACTGGAAATGAACATATATTAACATTATATAAAATTTCTACATGTAGAAAACAAGAACATAACAACCAAAGAACATGGACGTTCACATGCCAGATCTTATAATATAACTGAAAAAGATAAAGTCACGACAGCAAAATCCGAGAACAAGCAAGGATTGGTGGAAAATTCTACACAGTGTTTGGTTTCCTGGCTTAGAAAATATATAAGTTACAGATGAAAATAGAAAAATGTATTGTGATGATACTTCCCGGAACGCTATTATGATTACCGGTATTGTTCTAAATTGTAAGCCGGTTATGGGATCGTTCACATAAGTTGATTCTAAATTCTAATTCCTGTCTTGATCGAAACTTAGACAATATTTTGGGCTACAAAAGACAGATGCAAACTGACGATAGAGGTTCACGGTTGAAGGTGAGGGTGGAATCTCATTAGCAAGAAAGTGGCTCCCTGGAACTTGTTGCTCATAAGAACAATAAATGAATGAAATGACTGCGGCATCGGCAGAGAACACTGCAGGGAAAGCAACCGCTAAATTGATAAAAAAATCTTTTCTCCGTCATTTCGAAATGAATCTTATCGTATCAGACTTTCTTTTAGGTATATGTTAGAGATTTCATCACTCTTCTACATCACCAGAGTAAAATTTCAGGATTGGGATCATCTCACATGACTCAAACGTCTCGTACTATTCCTGGTATATCTCACAAATCTCTACGCTTCTAACTGCCATGTAAATCATCAACTAACCACTTCATGCTTCCCCACACTAAAGAGGCAAACTATATGTCTTTAATTAACTACTGTATACCAAATAATAGCACACGCTCAATACAACATATACATGCATCTTTGTCTGCAAGAAATTCATGTTCAACTTCACTTAAATCCTAATCGCTTTCTTTACTCCGTAGGCAAAGAAAAGTTATTTGCAGCAATCAATTACTCTAACTTATCCCTTTCGTGACTGAGGAAGAACTCTTCCACGGCGATGCCCCGCTCGTCTCACTGAAGAGACACGTCGTCTCACTGAAGAGACACGTCGTCTCACTGAAGAGACACGTCGTCTCACTGAAGAGACACGTCGTCGTCCTCGTCCTCTTCCCCATCATCACCCAGCTCCTCCCCTGGCGGGGGCGTCACGCCTCGCATGGTGAGGTGACTCTTGTAGCGCTGCAGGCGGCCGTCCTGCTCCGTCAGCAGCAGCAACAGATCCTCCTGCTCCGCCTGCAGCGAGCTCAACTCCTCCTGCCACATGAATATTGTTAGCAGGGCACGATTACCACTTATTGGCTCAACAGCGGGGCACGATTACCACTAATTGGCTCAACAACGGGACATGATTCCCGTTAAGAGGGGGCTACATCAAGAAACGCTACAGCGGGACACGAGTACCGTTAAAAGAGACCACATTGGGACACGAATATTTAGAATAAATTTTGATTCGCTTATTTATAATTCATGTCTCATGATAATAAAAATCCTACTTCCTGACCTGGATTTTTAGTCGCTTTTTACGTTCTGCTTCAAGTTGCGCAGCAAGACCGTCATCGCTACCTAGAGTCTTGTTCCTGTCCTCATCTTGAGTCTGAAGTCTGAGCTGTTGGAGTTGATTCTCGAGCGCAGAGTTGGTTTCTTGTAACTGAAGGACTAACTTCTCCGACTTCTCGAGCTTCTGCTTCAGATCCTCCAGCTAAATGCCAAACAATGGGTTGAAATTTCAGGGGAAAACATTTATGGATGAACAATTAGTTGGGTAAAGATAGGAATTGTGGAATGGATCGGAATCACACAATCACAGATAGGAATAGTGGAAAGACAGGAATCACACAAGATTTTCAGAAATACAAAATTTATTTCATGTCAATTGATAGCTAATTCTATGCTTTTGTTGATACTAATTAGATTGAAATCAGACGTCATTCATATTCGCAAGATAGCTTCACCAAAGATGCCCAACCTGATGCGAGTCTCCTTCAGCAGAGCCATTGTGAACATTTCCTTTCTGTAGCTGGTACAGAGCCTCGTCTTTTTTATGCAGCACCAGCTGTAGATCTCGCAGCTGGCACCGCAGAGTCTCCAGCTCAGGATCAGCTGATGCTGGCTTCGAGTCTCCACTCTCTGCCGTCTGCTGCTCCTGTTCAACTGACTTCGCTGCAATCTCTCCCGCTTTTTCAAGATGTTGCTGCAGGCAAAAAGTTTAAATGAAGATACAGCCTTAAGTTTGAACACATTAAACAATAACAGTAATTTAATTTATGAAGCAATCCTTAGGTGCGTTGCTCATACGAAAAATAAGATGATCTGCGTAACATAACATAGTGATGTCGGCGCTGAAGTGTAGGCCAGATGTGGCCTGTCGCCGATTCTTGAACTTTTCGTGACTTGTTCACAGAAGATCTAGAATCGAGTCATTTGACCGGATCTTTTCATGACTGGCGATAGTTTTAAGTAGCTACTAGACTTCCACCGGGTTCGATATGGTGCTAGGCATTTCAAGGCTGAACATATATTTTTCCATGCAAAAAATTCATGTTAGGAAGGTACAACAACGGCAGGTACAGAGCCTCAGCTTCTTCTGCTCGAGCAAAACGTCGGCCAGAAACTGCCAATCCATAGAAACGAGACTGACCTCAGAAGTGGCTGTGAGCTAACAGCGCTATGACCAGTTTAGAACTTATGGCATGACCTGGTGCGGCATGACCTGGTGTGGCATGACCTGGTGTGGCATGAACTGGTGTGGCATGAACTGGTGTGGCATGTTGTATTCCTAGCGTGGTCTGTGGATTTGTAGCTCTGAGGCTGAGTGTAGCTGTGCCTGTTTATGCTGACCGTGAGTTGCAAGGCTAGTCCAAGACTTGAATGTATGGCAAATTATTTTTATTATTTTACAATATTTTAAAAATATTGTAAAATTATATTTTACAATATTTTTGACAATATTTTAAAAATTATTGTCAAGACATTTGCTGCGCCCTCAATCGAACATGTGAGCTTAGCGAATTTTAAAATCTTGGGTTGATTTCAAAAAGAAGCCCAGTCCCAAAAATTACATTTATTTCTCATTTGGTGCTAATTTACGTTATCTTGTTTTTCACTTGTCAAATTAACTTTAAAGATCTACTTTGTGAATTCACTTGGGCTAATTTATTATACCTTTATTCAGGCTATTCAAAATTATGATGAATATCGATTCCTGATCGCTATCCATGAAAATATGACGAATTTTCATGGCAGAAAATTTGCTTATGAGTTCTCGATAATATGCAATTGAAGCGAGAATTTTTAATACTAGAACTCCATTAATGAAAGTGAACAACATGAAGGTGAGATATACCTATAATAATGTTTTAAAATCACCTGAATTTGTTTGTCGCGTTCGATCATTTGGTAGTAATAGTAATCCCTGGCGTACGTGAGCTCTGAAACTTGTTGTTGCAGCATCACCATCGCTCCGTCACTACCATCTCCGCCTCCATTACTGCTGCTATTTTGCTGATGAAGTTGTAGCTGCTGCTGATACTGCATCTGCAGAGCATGTTGCTGCTGTGTCAGCTGCTGCACAGTGGCTGACAGGCTCTGCTTGTCAGCTGTCAATGAAGCCACCTGTTCAATGGCAGCTGACAGCTGCGCCTGCAACTCCTTCACTTTCTGAGTCAGTAGCTCGGCTGTGTCAGCCTCGCCGATATTCACGGCACGTAGAATGCTTCCCTCAAGACTCCTGAAGGCGACAACAAAGGAAAAATCAAAGCAGAGATCCGACTTTTTCTTGGCGGAAATTTTGGGAGATTTTCCGCCTAGCAAGAAGTGTTCAGTTCGTGCCAGAGCCTCCAGTTTGTTCCTGAAGACGTGGCGGCCGATGCGATCGGTTACCATGGAGGCGAGCTTCTCGCGCGTCAGAGTGCCAGGGGCGCCTTCGTTGTACAGCGCACACACGCCCAACACGAACGCGCTCAGCCCTTGCAGAGCCTGGCTTTCGGGGTCTTCTGTTTCACTGCTTGATATCTGCAAGTGTGAGCGGTAAATATGAAAAAATATAACTCGGTACTCACTGCAGTGAGTGACAGAGAGTGCATTTTCTCGTGGACGAAAACGTGAAGTCAGGGACGGACATGACGAGCACAATAGGGCATTTTTTCCATAAATGAGAAAATGCGCAAAAATAGGATCAAGGATCATTTCATTAAAATTATGTTTTCTATCGATATCGGAGGCAAAAAAAAAAATTAAACAAAAGCTGAATATGACAGTGATTAGGTCATGGAAAATATAAAAGTAACACTAACTATCATTTCAATGACAGAACAAGAATATAATGAATGCACTACTAATGGGCACCTCGTACCTGAGCCGTTAGGTACGGCATGACCTGAGCCACGTTCAGGAACTGAGTGACGGCTCTGGGACACTGTACGAGCCACAGAGCCAGCAGCTGCAGCAGCCCAACCTTGGCTAGGAAGGCAGGCGAGCTGAGGAGAAGCGAGCAGCACTGCTGCAGCAGAGACACGCACGATCCTCCTCCTCCTGTAGCCAGCTGAACGCGCAGCAGCTGGTCCTGGAACGCAATGTTAACATGGTATTACTGAAAGAGCAATATTCCAGCAGTGACACACACACTCACGCTACTTTTCATGCAGTCATGTATGTCCATTCTATCATCACAGTAAAGTTCATTTGAACTTGCTCTCAATAATTGTTCAAACACACAAGAGATGAAAGAAACATTTCTCCCTTCGCGAGATTCGTCACTGTTACAGCAGTGACACTCACGTTCCTCGTCATGCTGTCATCTGTAAACAGCTTGTTAGAACACAATTAATTGAACATTTGTACCTGGAGTTCTCCAAAAATCACACCAACATCAAGATAAAATTTTTTCACAAAACCTGCACATGTTCTCATCTGTATCCAGTTTATTAGAGCACAGACTGCACAGTTTATTAAAAATTTGTAGCTAGAGTTCTCCAAAAATCACACCAACATCAAGACAATTTTTTTCACAAAACCTGCACATGTTCTCATCTGTATCCAGTTTATTTGAGCACAGACTGTACAGTTTATTAAAAATTTGTAGCTCGAGTTCTCCAAAAATCACACCAACATCAAGATAATTTTTTCGTTCACAAAGCCAGCAGGAAGTATTGCACCTTCTGCGCGGTGTTGTCATGCAGGGCGTGTGAGAGAGCGATGGCACACAGCCACGTAGACGCGGCGTCGTTGGAGAACAGACCGCCACACAACAGCTGGCCACTGCTGATGTCTGTCGCTGTAATAAGACAACCAGAGTTTCAACATTCACAAGAAATCAAATGTAACGGCAAAGAGAATATTGAAGTTTTATCGAAGTAAATGAAAATGAAAGTAATTTGTAACTTCATTGCGAAGTTTTAAAGTTCTAATTTTGATAAGTAACCATACAACTTCTTCGAATCAACTTGAAAGAGATTAAATGCATTTTACTCATTATGAAAACTTTCTAAACAAAGTGTAACTTTAAAAAATCAAACGATTCCTCCCGTAACCATGGTAATGCAGAGATCATGTGGACAAAAGAATGCAATTTATAATAAATATTCCTGTTGTAAAATCAAAGCATTTTGCATGAATTTTTACATTTTCCTTTATAGATTAAATTTCGAAAGAAATGATTAATTCTCACAACTACGATACCTACTCACCATAACTCCACGTATATACTGTTTAGACAAAATAAACGAAACACCTGAGAAATCCGCAAAATATACCTATTTTAGTACGGTGTAGACAGTCTCAATTCTACGAGGTATTGATTCATACAAATTGTGAATTATTTCTGAAGAAATTTTAACCCGTTCTTTAGTTTAATACTCCCTCCAACTCTTCTAATGACGATGGCGGCGGAATCGACTTCTTACTTGCATCTCTTAAATCGACCATAAATGCCCTACAATATTCAGGTTTGGTTATTGTGGTGGCCAAATGAGATGCTCAACTTCATTAGAATTTTTCTTGTGCAATTTTTCAACAATTCCAGCTGTATGGATCAGGGCATTTTCATCTTGAATGGCGTTACCCTCCGGAAGCAGTGTTTAAACCATTGGAGGAACTTGGTCCTCCAAAATTCCTAAATAATCACGGCTGTTGATTCTTCCATGAAGAGAAATCATAGGTCCGCCGGATACCCAAGAAATATCACCCCACATCATGACAGATTCTCCGCCATGTTTTACGGTTGGGAGGAGGCAGGCGGAATTAAATGACTCTTTTGGTCTCCAAACGTAAACTCGGTCAGAGGTTGGAAATGAGCCAAACGATGAATCGTCAGAGAAAATTACGTTTTTCCACTGGTCGAGGGACTAATCCAGGAGGTTTTTACACCACTCTAAACGCTTCATAGCATTTGCATTTGAAACCAGAAGTTTTCTAATTGCAGCTCTACCATAGGATACTAATCTGTGCAGCTCTCGGCGGACAGTCTTTATGGGAACTGGCCTCTGTATGTGTCCATTGAGGTCTGCAGTAATTTTAACAGCCGCGGTCTTTCGATTGTCCCTTACAATTCGATTTAGGTGGCGACGGTCTCTCTCAGACAATTTTGACTTTCGGCCAGACCTGTGCTTTGCTGAGGACGTTTTCCTTCTCTTTCATAAGCAGTCATTACTCATAACCATAAGACAGTACTTTGAAAATCAATACTGTTGTAGACAGTACTTTGAAAGTCAGAGAGGATTGCTATCACTAGGTTATAGGTTAGGCTATAGACTCAAAATTTACTAAAAATATCTGTGCACGAATAAAATTGGCAGCCAAAATAAACAATGACAGATAAAAATATGTCACATTTTCATTGTTTATAACATTTTCAAAAATTCCGATATCAAAATGTCAGGTGGTTTCCTTACTTTGTCCAACTCCTGTACATAATGAAGACAGATTAGTAATTTCCCCAACTTGTTGGCCTCTGGTCTATCGTATGTGCATATTTTTCTACTCGGAACTTGACTGTGACTCACACTTGGCTGTCTGGGGCAGCAGAGTGGCGACGAGAGCAGCTTGCAAGGAAGGGTTTTTATAGAGGAGGCAATGCAGACAATAAAGCACCGCGCTGCGTAAAGTTACAGGCTGCTTCTCGTTCACCAGCGACATCAGCAGCACCACCACAGCTGGCCTGAGAGATCACCACAGGTATTAACTATCATAAATGTAGAAGCTCAGAACATTATGGCTATACATTATAATAGCGGTTTCAGCATTTAGTAGGCCGTAGGCCTGTCGCCGATTCTTAACATCGCAGAACATTCACAGCTTTTTGCGGTCTCGAACTTGCAACTCACTGCTACAATTCTGCTTTGCTTAACCGCCCGGCCTCCTCGCCGATTCTGACCAGAAACTGGCGCACAGAGCTGGGATCGAACCCGCGCCTCACTGCGTCAATCTTGGTACTCTGAACTGTAACCACTGAGCCACCCTGGGCCACATTACTCATCTTCTACATGAACTTGTTGTTTGGGTTATATTTTCTTTCTAATAAACCAAAAGTTCTGTTTAAATCAGTGTTGAAGATAGAACATTGATAAATTCATTCTTAAATAGAGATCAATATCACAAATATTAACTGTTCTATACAGGAGCAAGAGATAGTGAAATTTCATGTAGATTAATTCAAAGTAACCATGCGAGACCATAAATGGAGAGACAACCTGGGCGGGTTGGATGGAGCCATGACATTATTGAAGAATTTCTGATTATCCTCATTAGCCCTGATGACGTCAGATAGCGTGGTGATGACGAGGGTGAGGGTGATGGCGGGCACCCCGCTGGCGAGGAGCATGCGGCACAAGGACGGCAGCAGCCCCGACACTCGCAGCACCGACTGGCACGCCTGCACCTCCGAGCTGCAGCCTTCCGGCTGAACAAGACAGTCCACCAACTGCAAACATAATTTCGTGCATGAACAAACTTTATGAAATTTTAATGAAATTTAAAAGCTACAAAAGCAAAAATGCTGCTGGCTTTACTGTAACTGCAAACATAATTGCGTGCATGAACAAACTTTATGAAATTTTAATGAAATTTAAAAACTACAAAAAAAAACACTACATAGAAATGCTGCTGGCGTGAACCAGAAATGTTGCTGATGTGAAAAAAAATTTCTCATGTTTCTGATGGCTGGAGAAGGCAATCCATTAACTATAATCTCGTTAGAGAAGATCGACGAGCTTGAGAATCTAGCACTGAGCCCTGAATGGGCAACTCACTGAGCTTCAGTGCCCAAGATTCAAGAAGCGAACGATGCTCAAATATAAGTTCACATCAAACTTAAATTTATCATGCAAATGATAAAATCATTAAAAGATATAGTACCACTCTTTGCACATTTCACGAATCCATGAAAGAAAAGCTAGTAGGATCAAACACTGCAAGAGATGTGATCTGATAGGCTAGGATTGTTTGACTCGACATTTTCACTCAGTCATTCAAGCAACAAGTTTTTTCCTAAGAAATGATGGAAGATTTCTGTAAAGGCTCACATTTCAAGCACTTTTTAATTCAGAACATAGATAACATTCCACTCCCAGACTTTATTTCAATTGAAAATGTCACAGTGAAAAAATAAATCCTAAACAAATTGAATAAAAAATAATTTGACGATAAATGAGTTCTACTAAAGACACACCTCTAACATTTTATGAACATTGGCCATTTTTTGAGCAGACCAAGCAGAGGACGCTTTAGCTGGATCCTCAGCCTCGTCGAGCAAGACCGTGAAGAAGCTGGTGAGCTGAGCCACGTGGTTGCCTTCCCTCAGCAACGTCTGGTTGGGGGGACTTGACTTGAGCAACGTCACCAGCAGCTCCAAGCAGTCCTCCACCACAACGCTGCCTTCACTGTAGCCTTCCTCTCTGTTAGACATTAATTAACATGGTAACTTCAAGGTGTCGGGGCCATAATACGTCTCCTTACAACGGACACGGAAAATATTGTGGAACATGCAATAATCAATTAGCTCATGCGATGGCAGTTACATCATAGCAGAATATCTCGCTTCAAATGCAAAATTATTAGTTACCAAAACTGTTTATGAACAATGTACAATTGTTTTACATTTCATAAATACATAACATATTACATGCATTAGGTATATATCTATGTCAAGCATATAATAATGTCAATTGGTACAATAGTATTGTACTCAATGCATCACTGTCGTACTTGATGCACCACATGAACTTAACTTAGAGTTGATCAAATTTCATCAGGGTTGCTTGTGATATCATTATCATATTGATTAATTTAATCCAACAAAGTTAAGTAAGATTTTCTTAACAGCATAACTGAAAATATGCCTTTGGATTTTCATGAACAAACCTGATAATCTCGAAGATGATATCATAAACGTTCTCAAAGACGACAATTTTCTGCAGGGTTGGGTTGCCTCTGGTGAGGTTAGTGAGCACAAGCAGCATATGGTTCCTGATGACTTCTCTGTTGTCCGATAGCAAATCCATCAGCTTGGATACTCCTCTTGGGACTTGCAGCACTCCATCTTGTACCCCACGAGCTCTGAACGTATGGACTCATATTAAATCAAATACTGGTAAAAAGAAGCAATTTACAGATGCAAATTGGCCTTGCAGAAAATAAATGAATAGCATCATGCCACGTCACTGAACCTGTCCTGAAATTTCAAAATAATTGACATGAAATAAAAGTTCTCAAACGGCCAGTTCATCTCAGCGGTATAGCTGTTGGGGATAGAAATGATAAAAATTAATATACTTATTTTTAGTACAACTGAAGCTAATGTACTGCGCATGAATTGGCTAACAAAGCAGCACAACATGTAACGACATCTAATGGCACCTTAAGTTACATTACGAGCATTAAATTAAGTCATATCATTATTTTCCTTAATTTCCTCACAAAAAGTTCATCCTCAAAATTTATCTAAACAAGGAAGTTCAGCAAACTCCGAAAAGTAAAGCCATTACGGTTGCGTGTATTTCCTTTCAACAAAAGCAACAATTATTGAAAAAAATATATTGCAGTTAAAACAACCAACAACTCAGTACGTACTTCAGAGGCACTCAAACTAAAACAAACCTGTTCTCCAGTAGATTGCTGAGTAACTTTATTGTAGGGAAACGAACTTTAAAATCAAATTCGTCCAGTAACTCTAGGAATAAAGCAATGTTTTCAGTTTTCTTGGTGACAATTTCAGTGAACTGCTGGCCTAGCCCTCTGCAGGCCTCAGCACTACCACTTTCCTCTGCAAAAATAGAAGATTTTGTAGCAAGTAATGCTTAAATTAGTCACCCAATCTAGAAATTATTAAACATTTAAAATATTAACTAACATTTTATATTACAAGTACACAGAAGTTTACAGGATAATATATATTATCCACATATTCATAACTGAAATCAAAGTAATTCAAGTTTTACAGCCATTGTAAACAAAATATTGCTGCAGAAAACACAAATTACCAATTCCAAAAGACTATCACAAAAATATTCTGTGAAGTGAACAACACAACTGATACTCCAATTCTATACCCTGCCTGACCTATTTCTTCCTCAAATGGCTCCGGAGATGTGATGGATATGAGAGTTTCCAGAGCATAGTTTACCAGCTCATGATCAGACCGATCATTTGATAGAGCCTGAAAGTAAAGAATGGTAGAAAATTGAAATGAATTGATGGGCAATTAAATAAAATAATGGCTCAAATTCATGGCTCTCAATAGTGATTAGCATAACTCTAACATGAATGAAACTTTATAACTCCATTTTAAATGACAAATTTAGAAAATTTCAGAAAGGCATATTCAGAGATAATTTTGAGTAATTCAAAGAATTTCAAGAAAAAACTCAATGGCAACTCACATGAAGCAATGCATCCATTGCATGAGCTCCAACCAATAATCTGTACTTTCGAGCCAGGGCTCGTAAAGCTCTGCAGCCATCTCGTCTGTCCTCAAGTAGTGAGGAGGAAACCACTCGCTCAACAACTCTCTCAACCTGTAATAATATGATGCATTTAGTATACAATTGTAGGAATTATACATGTAAAAAAATATTATGACCAATTAAATGTTGTAAAGAATGTTATGTATTCAGAAAATTGTATTTTCACAACTATAGCACATGTTGCTTCTTAAAACACACATTGCATTCAAAGGCTAAGTATTTGCTACTAAGATCTTGGAAGACTACAATCTCCTGACTGGCCCAAATAAACAGTCAGATTCTGTGTATGTATGCCAGAAGGAAATTTGAGGCATACTATAATATTCTTCAGTACCAAACTATTTGCACACTCATGGCATTGTCCTATGGATATGTATCAGGTTTTCCATCAAGTTATAAGCTACCCAGACACTGCATGATATCCAGACAGAAATGAAGCATGACGACTGTTCAATTCAACTCTCTGTCGACAACAATATTTGATCAATTATATAATTCACTGCATAAAGTGTTCATGGATGCTCAGGTATTTCACTATTTTAGTGCCCTGGTGCCAACTGACAAACAGTAGGATGCAGAAATTGAGTTAATATCTAAAGATGTTTGGCAAAAAAAATCAGCAGCAAAATTTATGTCTTCAGAAGATTTTGCCAACACACTTACTTTGAAATTATTGGCTTTTAAAAATTTCCACATCTTTGGCAATGATTACAGCTGAAGCAGAACAAAAGAAGGTACAGTGTGGCTGAGGTATTTTGCAATCCATAAATTGCAATTTACAATTGACATGACTGATGCGTAAGGATCGGCATGGGTGTACACACAGTACGATCAATATGGCGGATGCATGATGATAGACATGGACATATGCGCACTATGATCAATATGGCCAATACGCGATGATCAGTATGGCCGTACACTCACTATGATTAATATTGCTGATTTGTAATGCTCAGGTACAGACATATGCTCATTATGATTGATATGGCCTATTTGCCATCATTGGCACAGACATAGGTAGTGCATTACAATTACTGCGGGTGATAGATACCAGCAATCAAAAAATGGGGGAAATACATGAGGAGATGGCCGAATACTGCTGGAAAAACTTAAGGTTTAAAAAACACATCTTGCCAATGCATTTGCAGAAGTCAGGCAAAATTTCCTGACAGAAAACTATGACTGGAGCCATCTATGAATGAGCCAAAATTGCCAATGCTGATGGATAATTTGATCTGTTCTTAACATGTTGAGTGTGGTACAACCCACCAGATAGCTTAAAAACAGCCTAGTCAGAGGACAAGAAAGGCCAAAAAAGCCTGTAAGTCAATATTTACTGGTAGATTTGTGGGTTTTGATGCAAAAATTTAATTTAAAATTTTTCATACTTTTTAGAATTTAATATGGGAGTACTGGTAGTCATCATAAATTTTTGTGGGCTGTTGCAATTGAAAAAAATTTATGTAATTTGTCTGAAAAAAAAGCCCCTGCAACCCACCAATGGGTTGTATCACACTGAATGTGTCAAGGCTCTTGCCTAATTTCTCAAGTAAAAATTACAATTGTCTCATTTTCATTCATGACTTCTGAAAATCACATGTGAAAAAAATTTATAACCAATCTGGAATATTTTACATAATTTTCTGAATACTGAACATAAAAATTATCATTTCATATGTACTTTTTCATAAATTATTTGGCAAAAATACTTGTTTTTATAAATTTTTACATAAGAAATTAGACAAGGGCCATAAAAACAGGTAAAATTGATGATTCAAGTGTGAGTCTTTTGTCTCATAGTCCTTTACTCCTTTATGGGCCAGAGTGCGCTCAGTGCAGACTTTCAGCAAATGAATCACCAAGATATGGTTTTTAAGTCAAAAATATTGCCAACAGTATTCAAAATGTCTCTCTGAATCATCAGCAGAATTTGGGAAGTGTTGCCAATTGCCAGCAATATTCAGCCATCACTGCATGTAATGCCATCACTGGGTGTTTCTCCTGCTTGATTTGATTGCTTGTATCCATCATCATAGCAATTTTAATGCAAATATGTCTGTGCAGATCATTGTGCATTGGCCATATTGATTGTAAACCAGGTACCGTAAAATGGGGTAACTTAGACCACTTTTTTTTTATAAATGATGCCATTTTTTTACTAGCTAAATTAAACTTGAATTGAAACATGCAAAATACAGGTCTATACTCTAGCTTCACTCACCATAAATTGCTGGCTCCTGAGCCTCAGTATTAGGCCTTTAATGCCCATTGACAAAATTTTTCTATGTCAAATAGTTTTTGAGTTGTGGGGGTTTTTGTTAAAAAAACGAAAAGTGGTCCAAGTTACCCCGCCGGTCTAAGTTACCCCATTTTACGGTACATCTATGTTCATCATTGCCAATCATTGCGCATTGGACATGGGTATCAATTGTAATATGTATGTGAATGCCATTCATCCCACATCAGCCATATTGATTGTAAATTGCTATCTATAGATTGCAATGAATCTCAGCCACCAGTTTAACTTCTCTTGTTCTGATTTTGCAGTAATCAACTAGTCTTTGCCAAAAATATGGAAGTATTTAGAAATCAATATTTGCAAAGTATATAAATCCATTGGCAAGATCTTCTAAAGACATAAATTTTGCTGCAGATGTGTCAACAAAGATTTTTACATATTTGTTTACTTTCTGCATACAGGAGACTGATCCACGGTTGGCTCAGGCATGGCATATATCTACTTGGCGAGTTGCTACTGAATTTTTTAAAGCATTGTTTTATGGATTTGTCAGCCGTGATTCCATTTCTTCAAGCCCTGAATTTCATATCTTGGCCATGAAAAGCTATTCACCAGCCTTGAACCGTTGAACTTATTTACAAAGTCTGTTTAAGTCTTGACCCAAATATCTAATTTTACCTTAAAAACAGTCAAAAACTGTGACAAACAGCAAAACTAACATTTGTCTTGACTTAAGTGGCAACTTAACATGTGATAATGCAGTATGACTAGATTGACTACTCTGATGTGACCGCAGCTATACAATCTTCGTGGAAAGGTTTTAGGTTGACTTGTTATGACGTTCTGCAGGATATTTTGGAGGAAACATTGAAGTACTGCAGATAGTGCCATCATTGCGGAAGTTGAAAATTTTATGAAATGACTTTTTGCAAAATGCAAATCCCAATTTTTCCAAGCAAACAAAAATACGAGATTTCATACCTACTGAAATTGAAATAATATTATATTAGAGCTGCAATATTTCAGAAAAAAAGTAGGACTTCTCCAGCCCTGGGTTGGCTAACTTGGCTTGTGCCCAATTTTTAGGAAATTGGACCAGAATATTTTTTACCTATAGTTTTTGGTTCGGTAATTTCCTATTCTATTGATATGGTCTATAAAGTTAGTCCATAAAATTAGGCACTTCTGGCTTATTCAGAGATTGCAACACAATGTTATGATTCAATCATTTCCATGTAATAAGTATGAGCTCAGCAGAACAGTTCAACAGATTACATATGATATATATAACAAGTATAACAAATATAAAATTCTTAAATCCATTACAGTTCCATCATTCAATCTTCTTCCCCATATCAACTGTTATCAACAGTATTTTGACCTTAATGCCTACCGCCTGGTAAGAATGAGTTACTGCAAGTAGACAGAAATTAATCCCTTCAAATGAATATTAAGGATTAGGCCTTACCGTTTCTGCACCAGTTGGAGTTTGATCAGCCTGCACATTTCCCAACACAGTTTGGGTCATTGAGCGGATCATCTCCATGTTTGAAGACTATAGGCGTAACCAAACAGCAGATATTAAAATAAACATGCTCAAAAAAATTATATCTCGAAGCGAGAGCCTACGCAGCTAATACAATATCTTCCATCGGATCGGAAAGGTTGTTCGTCCACAAACCACAAGGCCACACAAAATCCAGTTGTAAACAAAAGATGATGCCACTTTCGGATGGAAAATCTTTTCGAAAGTAAGTAATGTCGTTAAATATACATGCTTAATGGCTTCGAACTGTTTCAAAAGCTTGATGTGGAATTTTATTATTTCCCAATGAAAATCAGACAACGATCCAATTCAGTTAAATTGTATAAATTATTTTCGAAGGGTTTAACGAATCCCAATCCATGTCCCATTAAAACAACAATAACAACTTTTCACAAAATATTTGTTAATAGAAATTCATCAGGCGTTCTTGATGGATACCCAGCACTGATTTTACAATCATCTTTCAAAACTGTATGGAAAATAGCAGCTGACTGATGATGTATAACATGACGAACCTTGGCGGTTAAGACCTCGATGTGTCAACACTGAAATTAAACGTCACCTCCTGCAGAGGCAAGTCACTGGATCAACGTTCCTTCAAGCTCAACCACGAACTCGTCAGCCGACTCAAACGCAATTTTTGCACAAACGAAAAGCTCATACGCCCTTCAATTCTGAGCAGATCTTCCTGAAACTCAGAACAAAAGCTTGCCTACTTGTTGCCGCTTAAGGGAGTGGCAGACATGCTTGGTATTCATAATGACTTAAACCCACAACAAAGTCCCGCAGTCAGACACCGCAAGCAATGTGGCGGAGGCACTCGATGATCCCGGGGGCCGGGAACGCAAAATCCCATAGGCATAGGACTTCTGACGATCACACAATCATGAAGTTGACATATTGAACTTTTCGTTTATATTTCACAATAAACTAGCGTATGCGAGACATTTTATTTTTTAAACGCATAAATCAATTTTCTTCAACAAATCATGGGCAGTGTAATGTTATAAAACTAAATTTTTATTTACTTAAGTTTCTAAAAATGATTTCGTTCCCACATATTAACACTATAATAAAGCTCTTTCTCCCACTCGACATTTCTTCAAACTTTTCATTAAGTTCAGTCGGCAATTTGCCGCAGTTCAGTATAGTGTCCGAGTCAATCAGAAAATGGTCGCAACCAAAAACAGAGGCGGCCGCTCCGTTGCACTTCGATATAGCGCTGTCGTAATCTTACCAGAGCCAATGTACTATGAATTACGTAGTTGTGTCAGGAAAGCGCGACACGCAACTTCAGTCTTCATCACCATTTAAATATCGGTTGCCCCATATATTTGATACGTTGTCTTATTTGAGTCTTCGTTTTTCCTCCGTCCAGTTTGAGCAGGTAAAGTTCATCCTCCAAATTTCTTCTCCTGCTATTCTTTAAGGGCCGCTAGCTTTTAAATTGTCATCATTTTTAGATTTTCGCTTGCGGATTCCTTCTATTTTAGCTTTTCGCCGACTTTTCGAAGCTTATTACTGCTTTGAATGCGGTCCTCATATTCTATAAAGAGCCTCCCAAATTATGGACTCATTTTCTGAAGAACTTATCTGATCGAATAATTCTTTCATTTGAGAATAATTCTTTCTTTTAATGGTGACAAAATAGCAGACCACGTTTAATAACTCAAAGCGCTTTGGTTAAATTTAAATTGGTGCAGTCATTATAGTCAAACATGGCCGTTCGATGTAAGGGTAACATTTGTAGTCCGAGTCGGTCACACATTTACGAGATCCTAATTTTCGCAGATATTTTTGTTTATCAATATAAAAATTAACTATTCATAACTGATAAACAAAATTTCTAGTCATTATGTAACTATTCTAAAAAATTTTTTTTTACACGGGAAAGTCCTAATAGCACGGCCGAATGATTAAAAGTGAAATGGATGCGAGCACTACTGAAGTAAGTATTAATAGTAATAATAATAATAATAGCGGTTTCAGCGTTATTAGGCCGTAGGCCTGTCGCCGATTCTTAACATCGCAGAACATTCGCAGCATTTTGCGGTCTCGAACTCGCAACTCACTGCTACAATTCTGCTGTGCTTAACCGCCCGGCCTCCTTGCCGATTCTGACCAGAAACTGGCGCACAGAGCTGGGATCGAACCCGCGCCTCTCTGCGTCAATCCTGGTACTCTGAACTGTAACCACTGGGCCACCCTGCCCGTACAATAATGAATCACCTATCATGCTTGAGTATCAAATTCAAGGCCTTAAGTGAGCCTTGCTTAATTTTAGATCATTGAGAGGCATTCTGTATCTCCTTAGTTCCACTAAAATTTCAGTACCAACTAAATGTGATCGTGACACGACCATGATAAACAGTAAAGAAAATTATTATACATTAAATATAAATAAGAAATGCATCAATTCAATATAATACTAAAGTGACTGAATAGGGAATAAAGATTGAGCTATAAGAGGCCCTGGGCCTATTTCTTCAACGCCGACACTTCTATTCTATTCTATTCTATATAAGCCTATAAATATATATATGCACTATGTACCTCTCCGGCAATAACCTTTTCTCTACTCGTAAGATAAAAATCTGAATTTAATGTTCATCCAGCTATTTATTTGGATTATTTTACGTATAATCAATAATTAATTAATTTCAGTCTATAAATGAGACATCCAGGATCGAAATTGTTTTTAGAAAAATGTATTCATAAAAAAAACTATCTCTAAAGACCAAAGTTATAAACATCGACTCATATTTTTTGGAAATTATCATTAATATCTAATAAAGCGAGAAGAAATAATTCAAAATTGGTAAATCTATTCTAAGAAACTCATTATAGATTATCACTAAAATATCACAAATGAAAATTATTAAATCCGCAATTAAAAGTGCCAGTGATCAATTGCGATCTCAGAAGAGAAAAATGCTTGTTTACTGGATCGATTCTTCGAGCTCTCCTCCGAACTCGGACAGCAGACGCGAACGCAAGACTCAACATTTTCGCAACCGAACAACTCAAAACTCCCTCAAAACCTCAATTCTGTACGTATTTACTTCAAATTTAGAATATGAGTAAATAGCAGCAATAGGCCGAACTGCAAATAATTACAGATCATTTTGGCATTTCGTTTCTTATTAAAATGAAAAATTCAAATTCTGAGCAACTGAACACTATGCTCATCAATTCTGAACAGATCTGCATGAAATTCAGAACATAAATATTAACAATTAAAAATAGCCCGTATTGGAAATGATTACATCTTTTCACGTCATTTTATTTTCAGTTACAATGAAAAAACTGAACAGCTCATAAGTCCCTAAATTCTGAAGTTATCTGTTATAAAATTAAGAAAATTACAAATTAATAGCAAAACGCCGAGATGGAAACTTTTAGAAATTTTTGCGATAATTAGTTTTGAACAAACCGTCAAAAATTTAGATAATGTTAAGTTAACTTAGGTTAGGATTGGTTAGATTTCGCAATTTATTTTTAAATCATAATGATATGAACGATCCCAGCTTAAGCTATTGAAACCTAACCTCTTAACGAAATTTTTCGAAAGTTTTATTTCAATCAGGAACGAAAAATTGAAAAAAAATCTGTAATAATATTTATTACGGCGTGTTGCTTATGTTTTCTTTGGCGAAAGTTTTTTTTAATTGAAGACGAAATAACTTTAAAAATCTATCATACTTTCTTATAGATTTCGAAAAATTTCTGTAAACCTTGCGATATAAAATGTATAATAACGTCGCAACGTATTGCTGATGTTAACTTATGTTCCGAGGTTCAAGGAGATCTCTGTTGAAGGACTTATGAGCTGTTCGTTTGCGAAGAAGTTGTGAGCTCGAAGATGCTGTCTAGTAGACAAGCCGAATTCTCTTCCAAGATCATAATTGACCATTGACACTTTTCAATGCAGATTAAATTTCATTCGTATTGGTCCTGTCCGTGCCTCGTGCTCGTGGTTCAAGGATGGCTCAGTAACCTTTCACCTACGGTCGGGTGTGTGCGCGTCGTTTGTGTGCTCTGATGCTGTTTTCTCGCAGGGACAACTCTCGCTGCGTATCGCAGAACTTTTGCTCATCTGAGAAACATGGCTTAGATTAATGATACATTTCCGCGTAATTGGCGTATGTGTTTCTTTTTCAGTGCAAGTGTAACTTAAGATTTTTGAGTGTACATGAAAAATTTGCGTTTTCGCGTTCGCCTAGGACTTAGATGTATACTGTACAGTTCTCTCCGAACGGACTACGAAAGACTAGGTAGGCTAGTTAAGATTGTTCTGAAACATCACACGATCACATTTGGTGATTTCCTCTTATATAAGAGGAATCTTTTGATTTCCTTTTGATTTCCTCTTATATAAGAAGAGTTTGATTCAGTTGCCCACTCTCTTATCATCCAGTCTTTTTGGCGCGTAAGGAAGGATTACAGGACACAGTATTTGGTTGTTGGCGTCACTTAAGCAGAACGTTCGCTATAATCCACGAACCAAAACATGACAATCTCCTCTTCGTCGAATTATCGAGTGATTCATTCGTTCTTCTATTTATTTACTGACATAAACACTTGCAAGAACAAACCGATGCCTAGATTTGTAGCACTCTGAACAAGTAGTCAAGCTGAAATATGTCGAGTCAATGGCACCAATTGATTTCTAAAAGTTCTTTAATTCAATGTTTATGACACTCCCGGTGTCCCTAAAAGCACTGATGAAGGATTACGGTGAAGTGGATTACGCAACTCATTTTATTTATAAGCAATAAGCAAACTGCGTTTAAATTGTTCACAAATAAATATTGGAAACTATTGGAAAATCAAAATCGTGTGTAATTTCTGAAATTGGGGCTGACCGAGACCTCAGGCCCGACCTTTAAATTGGTCAGCCACGTGATTCGCTTAATTTAATTTTAAAAATTCTCTCCTTTACTCATGCGGCTACTTGGTATATAAAAATATTCGCTAAAATGTCCTAAGTGAGTATAGAAACTATTGGAATAAAAACTTTGACATGAGCCTAAAAAATAAAAGTGTAGGCATGGTTAATCTCTTTCTTAACTGTTGCCCTCACCACTCTTCAGGAATGATTCTGATGACGATGTTATCTGTTCCCGCTTGAAAT